CTTTGCTGCCTAGCTCTCCTGGGAGCACAGCATAGGGATAAACTGGGCAAGTTCTACGGGATGCATTCATATTCCATGCTGCATGAAAGTACTTGTATGGTTGTGAATCTGCGGTGGTCTGGGATGCAGCCTGAGCTAATGAACTCAATCAGACCTGAATTGGCTCTGCATGGAGCTCGCCCTGGTGCCTCTGTTGCTTCAGCATTCTTGATCTGCAACTCATCACCTGTGGTGTATCTGCAGATTGACTTTATCTGGTGTTGTATGTATAGATGCATAAGCTAAAATGTGATTGGGCAGAAAATATCACTAAAAGCATTAAGAGGAAAGTTTATAGAGAGAGACTCAGTAGCACAAGGGGATTGTGTTTAAGACTAGGTCTACACCCTGAGACTTTGCCGTTAATTTTTCTTATGAGTAAGGGAGCAGATCCATGGGAACATGGGATTTACTGTAAGAAAAAACTGACCGTAGTACTAAACTTTAACTGTGCTTGTGTGTTCCCTCTTTCAATGTTTGTAATAGTCAGATATTTGTGTTCTCTTCCATTGCATGCTACAGTTCTGATCTAGCAAAGCGTTTAAATTATGTTCTTTAGAGCTTTACTGGATCCGGGCCATTGTCAGTACTTCCAAAAAGTAAAGCCTAAAACATTCTCTGAAATCTTTGGCTAGAGATTGTCTAGCATTATTCCTTACCCATAAGGATCTTATCTGGACCCTCCCGTAGGAACTGAAATAGCAAATGTCATGTATGCAGCCTTGGCAGTCAGTTCTGAACTTGGAGGACTTCTTTTGGTGAAGTAGTGTGGGCCAACATGCCTATGAGACATGTTCAAAGCTTTTTATGCTTTTCTCATCCATTTGAAATACAAACAAACAATTCCCATTTTCCAAAACAGGACTAGCTGTATATTGTGATGGTGGCAGCGACTTGATAAAGAAACATGGGAACTGAATATAGTCTTCAGTTGCCTCTATAGAATGTGCTTTATCCAAGAAGGAAAGAATCCCTTAGTGTAAAAATAAATCATTATATTGAAAGCTCTTCATGTGCTAGAAACTGTTTATTGATTTGTAAACACTACAAAACGCTTACCTGGGTACATCAGTGACAGCTGTCTAAGTTAGACTCAGAAATTTCTTTCCATCTTTGGAGTTTGTTTGCATTACTGGGGCTTCATGGCTCATGCTTCTGATAATTGGAATGTATTCAAACATGCTGTCTTGTTCTGAACGAGTTTTTCTCTTCATTTTTGCTTAGAGGCCAAGGGATGCTGGGTGCCAGTAAGTCGGAAGTTCTTACTCTGTTTTGTGGGGTTAGATAATCATGAGCCCTCTATGCCCATTCAAGAAGGTAGAGGGCTAAAGGATTTATTTTCAGGCAGCCTATGCTACGAGCTATAGTATGGAGGAAGAAGCTCGAGTGGAGTGTTCACAGAGAAAACATAACTCTCTCCGCAAGGTGCATGAGTTGAGGACTTGGCTGTGCTTCCCAGTGGCAGGCCTACTGACAAACTGAATAACCTGTACAAACCTCTTCCCTAGTAGATCTTGGGGACTATTTCAGTCTCTGTCTGAGACCTATGTCGCTTATAGGGTAGCGCAGGATCTGCCTTTTTCATGGAAGACACAATAGTGTCAGTTCGGAGTCTCTTACATGGTTTACTCAAAATATATTTGCTTTAGATTTTTCAGAATGCAAAAGAAATTTGCTTGTCAGATATGCAGTTAGTAATTTGGGATGGTCGTACGTAGTGCAACAAGCATAGAACTCTCCTGTTTGGCTCCACTTAGTCCATGTGAACACTGTTTTGTGAGGTGGTCTTAAAGAGAAGGTAGTGCTGGAGACAATCTATGAAATGGGCAGGATTTTAGATCTCTCTATTGTTGACTGCGAGTAAGGAGATGAAAGGAGGCCCAGGGCTGAGAGTTATATTCCAGGCTTTAAACTGGGATAAGAAATGAAAAATAGCACATTTTTATTATGTGTCATTGCATCCCTAGACTTGCCTGACAGGTGGGCTTGGTCATGAGAAGGTTCATGTTAACTTTATGAACTGTTAACTGTGTGAAAAAATGTTTTTTGTGTGGTGTGCGCGTGTATGTATACATAAAATATCCACCCCCCCCAAATTTGATTACTAATAATGTAATTAAAATGAATTAATTTGTGGAAAAGTCCCATTACTAAATAATGTGCGTTTTCCTGGAATGAACAGCAACAGGAAACTAAGCATTATAACCTTGAAATTCCAGTCTATTTTTTGAACACACATAATTTTCATGTTACTTTTCTGGGTTAGGTAAGGTGGCCTGTCCACCTGAGTAAAGCTGGTACGTTAATGTCAGCCGGTTGAGATGACACGTCATGACTATAGAGTTCCCTTTGCATGTCCTGCCTACTGTCCTTCCTACAGGGTTCGCACAGGCCTCCTTTTCCCCAGGTCGTGAACAGCCCTGCAGATACAGTTTATATATAGTCAAAGCTAGTAATAGTCCATGTGGCTCACAAATTATGGAAAATGGCTACCGATGTTAACAGGGCTCTTCAGAGGAAGAGCCAAGCCACTTCTGCTGAGTCTTTGGATGTTCCACCACTCCTGACATTCTTCCTATGCAGTTATCATACCATGGACATGTTGGATGTCTGTCTGGGACCTTCACCTCTGGAACGCAACCAGCTGGAGGTTCCCCCAGCAACAGAATCCCATCCAGGATATTCACAATTGGAGCACTACCAGCTGGAGGTTCCCTCTGGTGATGGATTCCTGTCCAGGACTGGCAACAACTGGAGCAGTACTGTCTGGAAGTTCCCACCTTGGTGGCCGAGATAGGGGTCGATGGCAATATGAAAGTACTGGCCAAGGTCGAGGAGAGAGGAGATTGCTCCCTGATTGACCATGAGGAAGTGTAGCCTCTGCAGCAGAGCCCAGCTAGTAACTACGGTCCTGTCTTAAGAGAGTCATAGCTACTCCTGCCAATGGGACCCTTAAATGCTGAGACCATTAGCAGTGTTGCTATTTGAGAGAGGAGGGAGAATAGATACATTTTTCACGGTACAGCTATATTTTATTCAGTAGGGTTTGTGTGTGTGTTTGGGTTTTTATAAACATCTCTGTTCTCCCTTCAGGGGATAAAAGATACTTTTCTTAAGCCCTCGGGGATCTAATAGCATATCTACAGACTTTTTGTTGTTGTTGTTTAGCCAACCCATGTTGCACTATTTTTTCCTAGGAACCACCATTTCCAGTGCAGATTTAAAATACTAAAGTGAAAACCACGTAGCTGGTTACCTTCCTGTATGATAAATGCTGTGCTGGAGTTCATGTCTTCTCTAATGTACTATTCTCCCTGCACCCCCCTCCCCTGCCATTTCTCTTTTCCTGTGGAGTACACATTCATAAGGGTGGTTAGGGCAGATGGTTTGAGGTTAATAACAGTTGAGAAAGTAGGTCTACCCATAGTGCTTAATTTTAAATTGATTTATCCTTAAATATAATCTTGTGCACAAGTCGACTTGTAAGATCAGAGCCTTCCGTGTGGAACTTGCTCTGGATTTTCATGAAGTTTTTAGCTGTCCGAAGTTGTTTTATTTCTCTAGCTATTAGACTAAAAACTGTATTTAACATTTTAAAGAAGTTTGTTTGATTTGGCCACAGTTTCTGTAGAAAATCAGCAGTATTATCCTTCTCTATCTTCCTTTCAGATGTGGCAGCTGTGGTTCCAGGTTGACTGACAGGTAAGTCTAGATGATACAGAGGGTCACCTGATCAGAACTATAAACTCAGAAAAAGGTAAGACTAAGCATGGTGTGTTCTAAGAGGCATCTCAACCTTTACTCTAGCTGTTGTGCAGACTTCTCCAAGCTAGTTTGTTCTTAAGACTGGAGCAAGAACAGAGGATTATTCTCTTTCCTAGGAGTTATAATTGATCTTGATCTATTAAAGTCTTTCCGTCGGCCAGGCTGCCCTCTTCAAATACCTTACTTGATAAAGGAGAGATCATTCTTTGCTGCTACGACTTTGTATTTCCCAAGAACTTGACAGAATTCTTACTTCAGTTGATGGTAAAATTCTGGTTGAGGTCATTTGCATAAAACAAACTTAGAACTATGCTTTTGTCTAGAAACTCTTGCTCTTATAGCCCAGCCTTCTTAGGAGCCAATTAACTGCAGTCTGAAACTGCAAAGAAGATAGAACTTGGAATTAGTGTGTGTCTCCACATACATAAATATACTTCTGAAGGACACCAGTTTATGCTATTTGTCTTTAATTTCCCCCAAAACTTTTTACCTGTTTGGTTATGCAGTATTGTCTCTGTTCCACAGAACAGATTTCACAGTGCTCAACCATGTATTTTTAGGTCAGTTAACGTTTTCTTATAATTACAAATGGTTTGCATATGAGTTCTTGCTCAGTGTCATTATGATTTATTAGGTCTTAATCTATAGTTATAAATTTGTAATCTTTAATGACTCCTTTCTAAAGCTTGTGGGGGAAAATAGCTGCATTTAAGTACTTACAGTAAGTCATTCAGAAATTAGATTTACTCATAAGATGATATTTACAGATTAATTGGCCATGAGCTCTTGGTGCAAGTTTAGTGGAAAACTGAGAACCTGTAAGTTGAGCTCATTTAGGGGTGATTTTAAAAATAGCCCATATAGTTGTTGTGGTCAACTACAGCTCAAGTAGTTGTGACCTGTTGTCATTATTCAATGTAGTGCTCTAAAGTCTGTCCTAATAGCAAAACATCCACTGTCTTCAACAGTGGAAGGACTGGTGAAGGTTATCAGAAGTAAAGCATGCGCTTAGTACTCTATTTGCATTCTTTCAGACTGTAGAATCTAAACATAAGTGGAGTGTATTTGTATGACTTACACCTGTACAGTGTAAGTACACATATATGTATATCTAGTATAGTAAAAGTGCAGTCACATACTGGAAGTATTTATCATGTATCTTTGATCCTTTTTAGCATTGGCTAGCTTTTGTCCACTGGACCAACAAGACCAAGTCACTTGATATAAATTCTTAATAACTTTAAGCAGAATTTGGATGTCTGCTAAGTAAGTGATATTTGGGTAAGTATAAAGAATGAAGTCCTTTTTTTTTTGGGGGGGGGCAGGGGGAAATGTCTGCCAGGAGTTTTTTTCCACCGTCTTTAGGCATCACAGCTTTTTACTGGAGTGACCATTTATAAAGTATTCGTTTGGATATTGTGAAGTAAGGCATTTCCCCCTCTTCTACCTCCAGTTTTCACATATCCACGTCATATTTCTACTTCTTCCTCTTTTTCTGTCTTCCTTTCCCACAACTTCTGTTTGTATAAGTTTGATCTGTAAACGACCCTGGCCTAAAGTCTGTGATGGACAGCCTAACAATTTGCAGTTTTAATGGTCATTTTCTTTGATCTCTAAGGAGACAAAAGGAGGACTATGAAATGCTATAAATATTGGAAGGGAGATTGTAAATCAGCCCTAATCCTGTTGCTGAACTGAAAACAACTATAACGTGAAATGTGTGACTTCATTGCGTGAGATATACTACTTAATGTCAGGATTTGCAGTGTTTTTGTGTGTTGGGTTTAATTTGTCTTACTCCAAGAACTGAAAACTTGAACTGATAGAACAGCAGCATTTAGCTTCAGAAGTGGTGAGATATGAGAAGCACTCCTAATCCAAAGTAGAGAAACTCTGGAAGTTTTAGAACTGTTTTGCCCCATGATGATTATGTTACAGAAGTAGTACATGATGACACGGTGTTCTTCAGGTACTTGCTTGGGACAAACTGCATGGCTTATGCACATTTTTTTCTTCTTTGAATAAAATACCTATTTTGAACTCATTAACCTCCCTCCCCAACCATTCTAGACCACACTTACAGATTGAGGTGCATACATAGATGTCTACATGTAAATAAGTTTAAGCTCTATCCGTGCATATGAACTCACATGTGAAAAAGGGGGGGGTGTTACCAAGAATACAGGCATGATTTAGTGTCATTGTGTATGAATAGGCAACCTCTAAGTACTGTGTTGATGACCTTTAAATAAAAGGAGAATTCATTATGGTTAGCAACCATGATTTTCAGAAAAAAATCATAGCGTTACTGTTAAGATTATTAACTGCTTTAGAGATTTGTCAGTGTGGATAAACCAAAAAACCTCTTGTCATTTGGCATACTAGCAAATGCCAGTGACTGTACTTTCTTAGCACAAACTAAAGAAGATAACCCCAAATCTTATGATACCTTGCATACCTCTTTATTATGTTCTGTGAGGATAGAGGGTTTTTCTTTAAATCTTTGCATGTAAGACTGTAAATTCAGAAGAAGGATTTGTGTACTAAATACCCAATTTAAATACTTAGAACTGCACATAATACTTTCAGTAATGCATGGATCAAGCTACTGACAGGCTGCAGAACTCTTGCTTGCTCTACCTGGTGCAGGTCTTAATTGTCTCAGCACACTGATCAGTAATAGCAATATGGGAAATACCTACCAGCCTGAAATCAGCAATGATTTTTCATTGGGAGAATCATCTCAGCATTTTGTGGTGATTATAAATCTACTACGTGTAAATGTATATACGATGCTATAGCTTCTGGTTTTTATACAGATGTATTACTGATTTTAGACTCTAGGTTGTTTTGTATCACTCCCTTCAGGGAATTGTTGCTTATATATATGCACCTGTGGAAGGGAAGCAGTCAGGTGCTCAACAGTTATGAGGATAGAGTCTAAAATGAGTCATACTGGAATTTGACTATTTCTTACATTAACTTGTCAAAACATTGGATTGTAATACAAAGCTTGCAGGAATACTTTCTACACATGTAGAACGTACTTTCCCTTTTGTTAATTTTCAAAGAAGTAGAAGAAAAAAAGATGGACACAGTCATCTTAGCTTTTTCTTTAGATCAGAAAATGTAATATTTTGTTCAAACATTTTAATAGAACAATTATTCTTTTGTTTTTAAATATAATTTTCAAGTGAATTAACTGCTTGTGACAGGTGCTTTTTCAATAGTCGTGGAGAATTAAGTCCTCTTTTACCAAATCATATAACAGTGTCAGTCAAAGATTTCTTTATCTGTTGTCTTTAGGCATCACAGCTTTCTTTTGGAGTGACCATTCCTAAAAGTAAAAGGAAAGTAGTAATTCCAGAACACTTTTTTTGTTTTTTTGTTTTTTTTTTTTCCTGAGGTCAGTTATTGTCTGCTAGGATGATTGATGCTTCTTTGCTTTGAACTAAGCTGAGATTGCTGGCTCACTTCTTGTCCTTGAACAGCATGAAGGTAAGAACTTTTGACCTGGATTAGATCTTGAAGAAATGATCTTGAAGTGGAGGACCAATATTGAGATGCCATTCCACTGTTTTTTTTACTGCATTTGGAATCTAAAATATTAAATAAATAGTATTCTCCAGTTCTTTTCCTCCCGTGCCTGTCATTAACAGCGTACAAAGGTTTAGTGCAATCTTGTTTAATAACAGGAATAGAAAAAGGAAGAAATAGCTACACACTCATTAGAAACAAAATCAATTATTACTTTTAAAAACTACCTGCTTTCAATTAAGCAGGAAATTATCTAACCGGTTACTTAATTTGCTCTGGCTGGCAGTCTCTCAACTGCTTTATGCTGAGTGGAGCATGAAATTAAATATGTAACAACTATCCTAATGGTTATGTTTTTAGAAAACCAGCATTTAGAAATGGTATTTTGCATAGTATCAAAAGAAGTAATGACATAAAAATAAATTATTACTGCTTCAATGCATTTGATATTTAAAAGAAAGAAATTACTTCATTTTTGATTCTCTTACTCTGATTAATAACAATACGATCTTTGGTTTGACTGATGCAGATCTGTACTTGGGAATTGGGTTATTTGTTTAGGTGGTCGTTGCCCCCTCCCCCACTTTCAGATTGTGTATAATGGGTGAAAGTGTTTGTGTTAATCTCTTGCTGCTTCAAGTGTTAAGTTCCACCCCATGAGCCTCTCTTCTGTGTACAGTATGCCTTTTGGTGAAATTATTGTAGGAGTCTTCAAGAGATTTTGAAGTTTTCTGTTTGATGCTCTTTGCTGGATCTTTCTCCAGGTACGCTTTCTGTGTCCCAGCTGGAACCCTTGCTTTTCTTACTGCTTAAGAGAGATTTTTGGAGTCGTGTGGCAGGTCATTACTTGATTTTCAGAGGCATCCCGTTGGAGTTCAGTACTGGCTCACATATATGCCTTTAAAAAAATTGTGAACCTGGTGCAGAATGCTTCTGATTGTGCATTAGGAGACGGGTCAAGCCGATGGTCCAAGGTTAGGTTTGTAGAAGTGCTTGATCATCCAGTCTTTGTGTGTATTAGTGTCAACCCACCAGCCCTCTCCCCTGCCCCAAAAATTCACAAATATTTACAATGGCAGAATGATCCACAAATTTGCACTATGTAAACTTGGTATGCTGCCATTCAGGAAAATATATTTTGAATTGAATGTAATGCCTTTGATTTGATTAATTTGGTGACAGAAATCCATAGACATCACTGTATAGACTTCACTGTATTTACAATTTTCAGTTTTATTTAGATTTAACAACAGAGAAATAATTTATACTATGATGCTAAATTAGAATGAGTCTTTTTTTAAATCCACAAGTATATCAAACAGCTATATGGATCACAGAAGTTTTCTTTTTTTAACAACAGTTAATAAAAAAGTTTCTAATGCCATAATTATGATTTTAGATGCAGTAACTCATCATGTTTCCCAATACCCAGATATAGACTATTTTGTTCTTCATTTGGGTTTTAATGCTATCTGGCTTCCAGAGAAAATAAGTGTCATTTTGTAGGTTCTTTAGTGAACACATTTCTGTTCTCTACGAAGTTGTGAATTTGAGCCACCAAAGCAGTAAAATTGTTGGTCTTTGCTTTGAGTCTTGACTCAGACATTCATTGTCTGCCACAACTTTTGAAAATGCTTTGAAATTTGGTAGAAAGTGTTGGTTCTTCCACAAAGTAATCCCACCCTTATACTGCAGAAGTAAGGGTTGTGGTAGCAGCTGTCTGCATCTTACGAAAATTACTTGGTAGTGTTAGTTAAACAGGCTGTTCTGTTTTGTTTCTTGAATGGGGGACAATTTGTTAATTGTCCCAAATAACAAAAATAACAAAAATAAGCTCCAATTAAGTTGGATCAGAACTGAAAAAGAATGTCTGACTTTTCGTTTATGTTTAGACCCCTTTACCCCTCTCTGGCATGTAATTTAGAAGCTGTCTCCAAATCTTCAAGAATATAAAATGACTTCTACGTTCCAGTGACATATTTAATGAAGAAGGTGGCAAAAAGAAAACAACTTGAGGAAATGAGCTCAGACGTTCCGGGTACTTAGAACAGCATCCCTATACGTCACCCCAATTTTCTCAGACTTCTTCAGTCACAGTCTTGAGGAAAAGTCACCTTTCCTTATTCCTGCCATTGGCATCAATTTTCTTTCACCGTAGCCTGCAATCAGAGTCACTGAGCTGAAAAACCGCCTGCTCTCTCTCAGCGATGCCTTCCATCGAAGTTGATGGTGTCCTGTCAGCAGCTTAGCCAGACAGAACCACCGGCGCCATCTTCATTAGGGTAAAAGCTAATATAAACAAATAAAGGCGTTAGTGTAGATAGCGGAGTGAGAGTATTACTGAAAAATGTTTTGCAGAGTCAGTTGCTACGCCTTTAGATTTAAAAATATATAAATGTTATATGAATCTCAAATCCGCTTTTATTTACATAAAATATTTATACATCAAGCAAGACAATTTCACAACTTTAAAATGTATTTTCCTGTTAGATTAATCTTTTCATATGCTAACCACATTACAAGTAAACATTTTCATAGTCTCCACTACATGAATGTGGCTAAAAGCTTCCTTGTTATTTTATAGTTACAGCATTTCAAATGTATCCCTTTTTGACGTGGTTAGGCAGCCTGCCAGTTTTACCACTAAATTATAGCAGAGAAAACACTCAGCAGAATTTGATTAGGTTTCTTCCTTTTCCCCATGAGTAAGGCGAAGCAAATTTATGTTC